AGTTGTCATAATCTCCTTGTTAATCTATCAACAAGTAATTCATTTAATTAAAACTTGTTCAACTGTAAAAGAATAGTCTCAAAAGATCTGATACAACGCTTCGTTGAGCTCTGTAACACGGCGCGATAGTAAATAATAGTCAAGTTTTGACATAAAGCTAGGTTAAACAAGCGGAATTGATGTGAAGATACCATCTGTGTGTACAAGCCTTTCGAAATTTATGTGGTCGAGACATAATCGTGTTGCATTCGTTTTTAAAAGTGATGGACTTTGCAAGAGTTGAGCTTAGATAGACTTTTTAAATAAAAACAAACAAAACAGACTTGTTTTTTTTAGGAAATGTGTGGGGGAACGCATAAAAGAATAATGTTTTTGGTACTTACTTTCGTCTCAGGAATTAATTAATTTTGATCTAAGTATTTATTAATCAATCTTTTGCGAAAAACTGTACAAAAAGATTGTATTCATTACAAACAATACAAAAAAATATGTGTGTCAGTAGTAGTCATAGCACAAATTCTCCGCACACTAGAAGCATAATTGTTAAAATTTGACATAACGGCACCTAATGCCTATCAAAAATTAGTGACGGACACCATTCGGCATTCACACAAGTACTGCTGTCGCCGATTACTTTCACAATAGAAAACTATCGATATGAGTAGATGGAGCTTATTATTTTTCCCACGGTTCGACAGCATTGGCGTGTGCGATGCTCATTATAACATGCTTCCGCAATTAGTGATGGGCTCTGGGCTTTCTCACTGCCCAATGCTCGATAATTTTCTGCCGATAGAGGTAATGTGCGTGCGTTGTAAGATTAACTTTCTTTGTCTGTTGATCTAGTTCCGTCGTCTGTTATATTATCATGATTGTCTTTTGTGTCATGTGTATTGCTTAGTTTCATATTATTTTTAACTCGATTTTTTTTTATTTCTTCATTATTCGTACGGTACTATATTTATTTAACTGATTCAATTAACAAATTGTAACAATATGCGCAGATGATTTTAACGTGATCTTCCATTTATATGAAGCTGCTGATGATTAGTTTGTAACAATTTAATCTAAATCTAGAATGTTTGTGCCTAACAGATGTCTACGCATGTCCTAAATTAATTATTTTTTAGTACCAGGCTGCACATGTTGGGAATACCATTATGTTTTTACTAAAAATTGTACATACATTGTAGTCTCTTTGTCTTTCTTGTTATTTCTATTGTTAACATTAAGTTTTACTTTTTAAATTATTTCCAAAAATATTAAATTATAACAGATATCAAATTACCGTAATGTCACATCATGCCGGACCTATTATGGTCAACAAACATGTATCTATATCTATATCTGCAATTCAATTAACGTTGCAATTATTTTTCCACAGTAATTGTTTTTTTTTAAGACAAAGCTCTAGTCTTTTTTTTTTTTTTTTTTTTTTTTTTTTTTTTTTTAAGGGGGGAAAATCATCGAATGACTGCCCCCGCCTGGGTGAGGCGGGAGGGAGTGTCAGACTCTTACTGACTAAAAACCACCCCGTTCCTTCTCCTGCACGTCGAGCCGGAGCCCCGGTTACCCGTTAGGTTCTCCGCGACTCCGTATCGGCATCGGCCCTATTGGGCCCCATCTGTGGTGGTCTGATGGCTCTTTGAGGCGCGCGCGGAACGCGACGCGCCGTACGCTCGGGTCTGTTTCTGGTCGGACGGGGAGCCACCCATGCTCGCCGTCCGCAGGCCCGCGCTTACGGTGGCCGGAGATCGTCCCGCGATCCCCGACGCCCGGTGTGTCCTTCGCGATGGCTGGGTTGCGAGGAGGCAGCGCTTCGCTGCCTCACGCGTCCCGCCTCCTCCTTAGCTAGCATGACTGCTTCGCAAAAGGAGGAGACGGCATCCCAATCCCCCTCGCTCCGCATCATGGCCTGCACTAGGCCCGGACGCGAGAGGTCGCCATCGCCGATCACTTCCCTGAGGACACGGCGGTGCTCAGCCCACGAAGGGCATTCTCCCACCGTGTGTTCCACCGTGTCCTCAGGGCGGTCCTCGCAGTGATGACACCCGGGCGTTTCCTCCCGCCCCATCAGACACAGGTACCTCCCGAAACTGCCATGTCCGGTGAGGACCTGCGTCAGGCGGTAGGTGAGGACGCCGTAGCGTCTCTCAAGCCACTCCTCAAAGAGGGGACTTACCGCTGCGATGGCAGCGAGCCCAGCCCTCGGTTGCGACAGTCGTTGCTGCCATTCCGCCATGAGATCGCGCCGGAGCTCATCCCGCCACGCACTTATCTGGCGCGGCAGCGGAGTTTCGCCCCGGCGACGTGCCTCCGCGCGCATGCTGTGCACGCGCGCGAGCACCTTCGCCTCCAGATCCCACGGCGGTAATCCGGCAAGGAGGTTCGCCGACTCCCCAGAGATCGTGCGGTATCCGCGGATCATTCGGATCGCCATGACCCTCTGTGCCATGAGCAGCGTCCGAGCGGGACGCCGCAACAGGTTAGGCGCCCAAACAGGGGCGCCGTAGAGGGCCATGGACCGCACGACCCCGGCGTATAACCTCCGGCAGGAGGCGTTTGGCCCCCCGAGGTTGGGGAGGATGCGTTTAAACGCAGCCCCCGTCCTCTCCAACTTTGGAGCCAAACGTCGGAAGTGTTCTATGAAGTTCCACCGACTGTCGAGGACGAGTCCTAGGTACTTCATCGTCGTCTCGACGCCGATGGTAACTCCTCCCGCCGTTATTTGGGACCCACCCGGAGGTGGCGCGTTCCCGCGGAAAGCTCTAGTCTAAATCTAACATAAAAATGAAAAATAACTAATAATAAAATGAGATTCCACCCGGGCATCAGATCTTGTAGTGTATACAGTTGTCGTCATACGAATACCCAAGCAACAAGACAGTCAGTAAGTAGTACAAACAGACTCATCGCTAATAGCAGCCTTTCTCTCATTAACTGAAACAAAAAACAAATTGATAAACTTCTACGTTTTGTCTGGTAAGGAATTCATAAGGGCAACGAACACCATTAAGTATTTTAACTTTAATGCCATCTTCCAAGTTAAATCTTTCTTTGAAAATGGCTGCGGTCAGACGGTATTCACTTCACTGCAAACCACAAAAGCCACAATAAGGATGAAGCCACTGCTCTTATACTTTATAATGGTGAAGTTTCCATGTAAAAGAAAAAACTTAAAAGCTTTACTTCATCATGGAACAAAAGAGAAATTATTCGCATGTAATCATAATTGGTGTTCACCAAGGAGCTATTTTGGGGCCACTGCATTTTTATATAGATTTTTTTTATTTAAATCGACTTTGATTTTCATTGTTCATTACTAAAGTGATATCAATTTTGAAGAAAACTTTATCTATATGAAGTCCAATACTAACAATAGTAAGTTCGAGGCAGATGTTAGTTTAAAATAACATATTAATGTTCCTTATCACCTAATTTAAAGTTAAGTTCGCAACAAAATTTATAAAATTCCCAAAAGAGTCTCCGACTTTGTAATAAAAATCACAAAACACAATGTTGCCTACATAACTATGTTTTTTTAGAAATAAACTGATCGAGGTTAATTAATGAGATACGACAACTATTGGCTTAGCTGAACCACTTTTAATTAGTACCCCTCTAAGCCGATTGGGAATCGACATCGACTATCGCTCGAATCGATTTTTTATTTTATCATCTCTGTTTTGTTGAACCTCCAAACTTGTTTTATTTGATCTCGATTTCAATTTATTGATTGTGCTTAACTTCGTTAATCAAGTAGTTGCGAAGTGAATTTTGTGTAATAAGAGGTTAGGTTCGATTTTTGGGTCTAGCATAGGACTATTGAATTTTTTATAATACAATTATTTTTAACTTAGAATGTCAATATTTGTTTCAATACTTCTTGCTAAAACACACATACAGACGTAATCTCGATCACTGGACGAAGCGGGCCTTATTGATACTTGAAATATCATAAATCATTACATTAGTATCATCTGTTTTATTGTCTGTCTATTTTATCTCTTTTTATTTAGATTTATTGAAACTTGATTTAATTATCTTCTCTTGTAAAATAAAACTCGTTTTTAGAACACAAAGAATTTTTCTCCCAAATTGAAACACAGTGAATTTAATTTCAATTCTGTGTCTGATCGACTAAGGAATCACGCTATTAATCTCGGTTGGTTGGTACCCAATACCTTCTCTCATTATCTAATTTAATGCAACAATGACTGGCTCTTAATTTCATTACCACCCACGGCTCAGAAGTGGTTGCGAGCAGTGAACGTCCATCTACCCAACAATGGAGTATTGTCCACCGATGGAAACAAATTAGGACGATGACGTAGTAGAAATTTTGTACGTGAACATTTTGATGTACCGGTTAATTGGGATAAATTACAGTTATACAAAACCGAACGACCGCAAACGGCCAAAATCTCCCTGCGATGTCAAAGGTGGTTTTTAGTACCCTAATTCATTACTTTTGCGTCTCTGGAATAATTATCTACATACAAATTATTCTTAGGTCCTAAATGGGATTTTATCAAATACGTAAACAAAAGTAGAACCTACGGACCGTGAAGTTTTACATTAATCGTAATACAAGAAAAGAGAAATTAAAATCTGATTGGGCATAAAATTGTTCATTTCGAGACTATTTTTCGATTTTGTAGATAACTATTATGTGAACACTTGACAGGGTGTCGCCGCCGCGGGCGTGACGAAGGAGCAGGCGCACGCGCAGGTAGACCCTTCGGAAAGAAGGAGACGGGAACATCATATCTCTCGTTCGCACCACGTGGAGGGGGCGGCCGGGCGCGGGCGTAAGCTTACTGCCTGTGCCACATTCTATTTAGTTTATAACCGTTCTTTGGTGCCGGAGCACCGTCGGTTCGGGTGCTAATTTGATATCTGTTTGTCAATAGTGTTTCGATAGTAAAAACAACAGATGAGTGCGCACGAGTATTGGATTTTACAAACTTATTGATGTGTTGGCGCCAGCCGCCTCAGCCATGGCGCGCAAAATGCTCAAAGCATTGGCTCTGCTGTTAGCTGTTGGGTACTGCAGCTTATTACTATCCCAGCTTACGCATCCTTTAAAAATCGTGGAAATTCGACCAGTACCGGATCGGATAGTGTCTAACTTATTATCAAACTTCACATATAAAGAATCTCCAGATGAAACGAGCATAGAAGACAGTGTAAATAAAAATATAACTTTAGAAGACATTTTTATAAGTGTGAAAACATCAAGACATTATCAGGCTTCACGGTTGCCTGTTATTTTGAAAACATGGTTCCAGTTGGCGAAAGAACAGGTAGGAATTGAAAAAAATATAACATTTGAGAAAGTAGAAATATAACATCATCAGCATATCATCGACGAGATACAGATGTTTTCGTTTGTATTATTCATAACATTAGCTGCAGCTTTGTAAATACTGTTCTTAATGAATTTATTATTGAAGCCGTACTTAATGAGAATACAATCTCAATAATGTATGGGTGCTAATGATGTTTGAATAGAAAGGATAATTACAATTACTAATAAGATCACTCAAACAATAACGGACAGTAGCAATCTAAACATACCTGACTATTGATAAGTATGAACATCTGGCGATTATAAATGTTTTGATATTACTTAGAGACATAACAAATGTCGTTGTTGATGAAATTCAATCATTAGTCAAAACGTTTAGAAACGAACGTCTTTAGAATCAAAGAATGATACGTCTATAGACTTAAATAAAGGGTCACACAATCGTGTTTATACTTACGCAACATACATATGTATACCTATAACAATTTTTATAAACATACCTTTCCACGAAACGCATCAGATGCGAGCCCACCAGAATTTTTACTAGTTTTACGACTCAAAATGTTGACACAAATGACCCTTTACAATTTGATTGATAATTTGGGCGACATTATTGCTTAGAAGAATATAAATTTACGTCTGTATCACAATTTTATACCGAAATCCAATAATAATAAAACACAAGGCTATAAAGGAGCAACCCGCAGAGTTAAGTTTCAATACTGTGGTGATAAATCATTGATAAATGCACCAGAAATGTTCCCAGCGGGACCCGCTTGTTCATAAATGTAAATATTACCATGTAGTTTCGGAATTAGGAAAGAATGTCTTGATTCCATTTCTTATTCAACCTTCATTTGTCCAAATTGCCTTGGAATTGAACGAAGAAAACCCGTTCGTTGCCGTTTATTTCAAATTGCTATCGAATTAAACCGAGTGCTTCCATAGTATGTGGGTGATCAGATGCCGAAACAACGCTATTATGCAAATATTTTTGTGAAACTATTAATCTTGTTATTCAAGTCACAGAACATGTTTTTATGCCATTGAATAGTATGTAAAAATATTCCGATTAAATGACATCGACATCCAAAACTTTTAATACCAATTTTGTGAACACAAAAGACACTTGTTCTTCAAGATAAAATCTTTGGGTCGTAATGTTGGATTCATTGATCGAATTTATATTGAGCTGGTTAGCCAATGCAATGTAGTAATGTAGATTAATTTTATTTAATTGTTATGAAACAACATAATTAAGTAAATCAATAATAAAATAAAATAAACGAATTTCTCTTTTATTGTAAGCTGTCTTTCCAAAACTTGACAATTGGAAAACGACAAATTCATTTCTGTGTAATTGTAGTAACTTATTCGAAACTAATATATCGTAGCAAAAACAATAGACAGAATTCGTGCAGCGACCATTTAGCTAGCATTTCCTGAATCTGGAGCGTGCATAATGAACCGTTAATCCGGCATTGCGCGGGCGCAGGAGCGGCGCCATTGTGGGTCCGCGCGTGGCACGGCGCGCGCGCAACACGTGACGTGATTGTGTACTTGATTTTGCCCTTTTGTGGTAACTCTTGGACGTACGTTCCTGATTTATAAACGAATCGGTTGCGTTTTATTATGCGTTGTTGCAAACTGGTTCTATATTGTTCATTTTCTCTTTTGTTGATTTATGAGGATTTGGACCCAGTTTATTTTTTATGGGCTATGAGATAAAAATAAAACCCCTTGTTTGAGCTGAATTTCTTAATTTTGTTCTTGGTTTTGTCAATTCTCGTCACTGTCTTTAACATTAGTACAACAATAGTTTAATTTTTTCCTGTCCGATTCTTAAATATTACCTCTATATGGGTTTACATCACACTGACATTGGTTTGAAACCAATAAACACAACATAACATAGGCCAGGTATATTCAGTTTCATGAGCCAATAGCGCTTAATTAAATATCATGGATACTAAAACCATGTTCAAGAATATTCTGGCATGAGTAAAAGTAGGAAAAGGTTCGGACGAAAAATACTTGAACTTCCCGTCTGCAGTTCACTGGTAGTCAACTAAAGGAAATTAAAACTAATTAGACGAGGCGAGAAGTGAGCAAATTACGACCACTTGCGAACTGGTAGCACTTCAGGTTACTTAATTGTATAATGCAAGTCCCCATTCGAACAGCCGTGGGGAATCTAGGACCTCTAGAGAATATTTTGCAACTGTCAAAACAATAAATATGTACAAACGAAAATAGATTCAATAATGACTCGTGAAAGTCGTTTTTTTTTAAGTTTTGTTATAAATTATGGAGCTTTATCAATGTTTTAAACAATCTTCATGTAATCTCCTATTTCTCTAAATTGTGCACAATATTATGCACAGATTTTTAAGAAATTACAAATAGTAATTGTGGCCACAGATAAGCGATCACATAGGTTAAACAACTTCACTTAGGTAGACATAAAATTAAAGAAAACTAATCAACAACCTTACTTTTAATAAGTAATATTTAGAAGACGTATTTATTTTATTTCGTTAAGTATAAATAAAATATAAAACAAAAAAGAAACAACGAACTTTATTAAATGTAAACACCGATTGCTTGCGATAGATTTACCCCAAACAGGACACAATGATTTGTGCACGTCCGCTGGCAAGGCGAGTGCAATCGTTCTGATTCATCTTCAAGGGGGATTTTATCTCACATTCAGAGCATTGCTACTCAAACTAGAATAGTTTCCTTCCGAAGATTTTATGAAACTATTTTATGATCTGATCTACGAATTTTATGCATTTTCAATACTTCTGACGTTTTGTATTCAACAACGTTTTATCGGTTCAATCATTTCCTCGTTGAACGAGAATTAATAGTAGCACTAGTAGAATAGCAAGAGTAATTATTGGACTAATGCCGGTTTTCACGAATCTCTCCTAAATTTTAAGCAACCCCTAAGTTAAGATAGGTGACATTTATCAACATTCTGATTTAACCAACCTATAAGTGACACCTTAGAGTATATTATAAACGAAGGTTTAGTTTAGGTGCTACGTCGAATTAAGTCATTTTTAGTTTAATTTCGGTTTAGGAGTGATTGGTTTAAACGGGTGTTAATGATTTTCTAAAATGTTGAGTAAGTAATAACGTGTAACTTGGACTTGTGTCCACTGCTTAATATTGCTTTAATATGCGTTCATAAATCGCTTTACTTTGGTTTAACCAAACTGCAAATCAAATCTCCGGATGTTTAATTATAATAATATTCTGCATTACAATGTACTGGCATAAATTAGTTAACAATACCAATTGTCTGATTGTATGTCATATCAACGTGGTACTTTGTAGTCGAATAACATTATCTACGTCTTCTACCTGTTAGAGTATATCGATCGCCCCATCGGGTTCAAAGAGTGAGTGAAGATCGGGTTCACATAATGTGCACCTGTATTTGCGCACTCATTTGTGCACTATAATATCTCCGGCGTCGTAGGCTAGTCTAGTTAGACTTTTTTTATGAGATAAGCCAGTAAACGGGCATACGGATCACCTGATGGTAAGCAATCGGCGTCGCCCATGGACACCCGAAACACCAGAGGCGTTACCTGCCTTTTGGGAGTTTGAGGATTGTGTTGGATTGGGGAGACTGGGGAAGGGGGTAACTTGCTTTGTATTGATCTCAGTCTATTTTCTATCTTCAGTATTAACATAGTTAATTTCATTATAAGAATCAACGTCACCAACAGATCAGTCAGGTTGGTCGACTGCGCCATTGTGGACCATTACTGAAAGGGTTTGCTATAACCTCAACTCTTGGCAGATGAGTTGGAGGTCGCAGTTTAAGAGTAACTATACCCAAGTATATAACAGATACATTATACTATTATTACTTGTCGTGGTGGCCCGGAGGTGGAAGATGCCTGCTTCTCATGCACGAGGGTGCAGGTTCGAAAACTACCAACGGCAAGTACCAATGTGACTTGTTCCGAGTTATATGTACTTTCTAAGATTATCTAGACACCACTGACCAACGGAGAAGGAAAACATCGTGAGGAAACCTGGGCTTATAATTTGTAATTATAAGTTTGAAATCGCCAACCCGCATTGAGCAAGCGTGGTGATTAATGCTCTAACCTTCTCCATGTGAGAAGAGGCTTTTGCTCAGCAGTAGGCATTTAAAAGCTGCTACGATTATTACGAATGTTTATTTTAAAAAGCCTAATAATAATATACCTGTTTAAACAGAACCCACAACTCAGCATTTGCAATCTCCCAACCAACGAAGCAACCGTTATCACAAGTTTATTTAAACTTAAAGTTTGCTTAAACGTCACATATTTTTGCAGAACCTATTCTGAACTCTAACACCTCATGAAATAAAGTCGAAGATGTTTAGGAAAGGACTAGCTTGATGTGCTGTCGTGTCTTTGGAATGCTTATCAGCGATATGCTTATGTGTTCCAAGAAGAACGACGGAAGTTTTATGGGTACTTGTATTACAGGTGATAAGATACTAGACCCACACAGAGCATTGTATTTCTACTTGAAGTTAAAGACAAATTAAAAAAAACAAAATGACCAAAAAAGTAATTTTGTAAATATCATTCTGTTAATGCTCAGCTCTCACTAATCCTATAGTTCTAATGTCGAACAAGAAACTTCATAGTTGCTTACTTGGTCCTTTTACAGTTACCTACTTCCATAATTTATTATTGAATTTATAATGAAGTAGCTTCTGCCCGCGACTTCGTACGCACAATCCCGTTATCTTCCGTTCCCATAGGATTTTCAGGATTTTTTTTTCTGTCATAAGAATTTTCTCCTGACAATAACAAACACAACAAAAAAATCTGCCAATAAATCTTCTGAGAAAAGCTCTACTATAGTTTCGATCCAGTCGAACTTTTCTCGATATATTCACGTGAGTACACCACGTTTTTTAGTTAGTTAAAACAAGTCCCGAGGACTAGGACACAAAAATAGGAGTAGGACCGAAAATCTGCTATAAATAGCCACAACCGATTCTTCGAACCAAAAAGACCAAAGGAGACATCAAAACACCTACAAAACAAATTACATCATAGTTTGAGAACAAATTACGGTTAATCAGACATTTCCTTGGGTTTACCCCACCAGCAGATAAGAACAGTTGAGTAGAACAGGTTGTGAACTTAGATTGCCAGACCACCCAGCCCATGTTTTCTTAGTAATTAGTATGTGCTGATCGTAATAGCAGGAAGGATTATGGGATGGTACAGAAGATACTATTTAGATATAGACTTGAAATAAGTTTTCCAGTATACGGTCATCTAATATATAAAATTCTCGTGTCACAGTTTTCGTTGCTATACTCCTCCGAAACAGCTTGACCGATTTTGATGAAATTTTTTGTGCTTATCCGGTATCTATGAGAATCGGTCAACATCTATTTTTCATCTCCCTAAATGTTAGGGGTGATCCAACCCTAATTTTTTTAAATATTTTTGCAAAACAACTTTTGCCGGGTCTGCTAGTAATGCATAAAAATGTAACGAAGTGAAGACGTTACAAATATACAATACGCATTAAACTATAAACGAAAATGTTTGTGGTTAAGAAACTGTACTGAGCTCAATGCTTCTCAAAGGACAGAACCGTACCCATATTATTATGAGTATGACCAGAGGTTCGGAATATAATGAAAGTTAAAGAAGTAACAGTGAGCACCTACCTCCGCGCGGTTTCACGCGATCTGCTTGGCGCCTAATGATCATAGGGTGATGTTTTATAGGTTATAGCCATTCTCGATAAATTAACTATCCAACACAAAAAGGATTTTTCAAATCGTACCAGTAGTTCCTGAGATTAGCGCGGTCGTACAAACAAACTCTTCAGCTTTATATATAAAATTGGAGTTAATGCTCTTTTTTTATTTTTGCCTACAAAGATGTAACAACGATGTTTTTAAATTGTTCACATGTTCAACATAATCTAATCACAGTAGGTAGACATAATATCTATGTTAGCTTTATTTCTTTCTCTATATGAACATGACGTGTAGGCAGAATCATTTCTCACCGCCTACGCAGATAGTATTAACCTATTGGCCCCAGTTGACTCCTATAAATTGCACGCTATGACAAAGATATTTTATTTTATACTAGCTTTTACCCGCGGCTTCGCTCGCATCACAAAAGGATAAAAAGTAACCTATGTGACATATACCAATACACACAGCGCCATCTATACCAATACTTTTGTTTTCCCTCGGGAATATCAAATTTTTCCAGGATAAAAGTACCCTATTATTTAATCCAGACTCCTAACTTTACGTCTGCAAAAATTCAAAGCAATCGGTTTAGTAGTTACGGCGTGAAAGCGGAACAAACAAACAAGCTCACTTTCCAATTTATAATATTAGTAAGGATGTAGTTAGTTTTTTATTTTTTCACTAGTCTTTGCTTTTGACTTCTTTCCTTCATAAGAGAACCATAGGACGAAACTGTCGAAAGGACCTGCAAACTCCGGTCACATTGGTTGTTTGTTTTTATCGCTTATTGATAACAATTTACGAACTTCAATCACCTTAACTCTAAAATTCACTATTCTTGCAAATATGAAAAACACTAGATGGCTAGTGTTTGTTATTATACCTATTATAGGTAAAAACGACTGCCTCGTTGGCCAAGTGATCGCAAGTACGACTGTCGGGCAATGGGTTTCGGGTTAGATTATCGGATCGGATAAATCGGGCGGAAAAATTCTCAGTAGTAGAACTGAGACTGGAATTGTGCCCGGTATATGGCAATAGGCTCATCCCCTATAACATGGTACTCATAACATAAATAGCGAAAAGTGGGTGCTACTTTGTACGTGGCAATGTGCACCTTTGTTCGGGGATAAAAGGCGTAATGATGTTATTTTGTATGTAAAAGCATCGTAAATTTCATAGATTCTATAATTACCTATAACCGGAGTTAGCAAGCTGTTTTGATAAAAAACAGTGGTGGTTGTGACTGTAATAATTTCCTAGGATACAGAAATGAAGAATATTAAGCCTTTGAAACGTCAAGTTTATGAAGCCTTTGGTAAATAAAAGTGGTATTTGTTCTTTCTATCTTTCTACGTCATGAACACATGTCTGATTTCAACAAAACAATCTTTAGTACCATCCCTTTTTTGAGTTACGCCTGTACCTACTGAAGATATTAACTACAGATGCTACTAAATCAAGCCACAAAACTCTATGCTCAATATACCTTCGACTTTATTACAAGGCTATAAAAGTTGAAAGTATTTTAAAGAAAGATTGGGGTAGTTTGATGTGCTGGTAGTCTTATAACAGCTGAACATTGTGGGGATCTAAATATAGCTTGCGTCGTGAGCTGGTTGTGGCAAACGACTACTCATTTACATTGTGCGTTGTACAGTTTTATATGGATCTATGTAGTCCTTTGACAAATATGGCACTTAGGCACTAGACGACATCATCATCATCACATCATCACTCCTTTATATCCCCGAAGGGGTAGGCAGAGGTGCACATTTCGGCACTTAATGCCACTGTACAATGTAACACCCACTTTTCACTATTTATGTTATAAGTCCCATGTAATAGGGGATGAGCTATTGCACTAGACGAAAGAATAAAAAAGTCTATGAAAGAGTGAGAGGGAGTGTCTGTCTCTTACTAACTATAACCAAAACATTTCTTTTTCCTGCTTCGAGCTGGAACTCCTGTAACCCTTTCAGTCGTCATTCCTCCTGGGCCCCATCAGGGGCGGTCTGATTGCTCTTTAATGAGCTTGACATGAGTGCTTCTATTCACTTCTTCAACTAGTGTAAGTCATTTGTCTGGAAGGGCAAGACTAACTCTTCTTCCAAGTGGTCACAACTACAACCAAGTCTGATGAATTTAAGGGGTCTCAGTATCAGGTCAGGTTAAGCATAATTCAACAAAAATTTTGAGTGTTATCCGGAGGCTTAATTCTTTTTTCCCCCAGGGTCCCTAATCCCGAAATCGCCAAACGTCGAATCTCTAACCCATAAAACGCCGGCAATGCATTTGTAACTCTTTTGGTATTATGGGTGTCGATGTACAGCGCTTATTGCTTACCATCAGGTGATCTGTCTACTGGTTTGCCGGTTCATCCCATAAATAAAACAGATTAAATGTGGCAGTGACTGCCTCGTTGGCCGAGTGGTCGCAAGTGCGACTGCCGGGCAAGGGGTCTCGGATTCGATTCCTGGGTCAGGCAAAGTATTACTGGATTTTAAAAAATGTCAGTAGTAGCACGAAGTCTGGAAATGTGCCCGGTATATGGTAAAACATAAATAGTGAAAAGTGGGTGTTACTTTGTATAGTGGCATTAAGTGCCGTGATGTGCATCGCTGCCTGCCCCTTCGGGACTAAAAGACGTGATGTTATGTTGTTGTTGTAAATGTGGCAATGCATAAAATTTATCAAATGTCGTTCTTACATCTTTTGATAAGGGTCTTAGTTGGAAGGTATGTTGTTATGTTATGTTATGTTATGAAAAAGAACACCTAAACACCTCTTGATGGTGGTCCTTTAAAGTAGAAATTCGCAGAACGATGAGTACGAATTCGTATCTTTAGCTCCTAAGTAAACTTTCATTGTTGACATTTGAATTTCAATCTTATGTTTACACAACAGATACGTTTAAAATATTTTCTGCTATTTATTTAGGTGTTAAGAAAATAAAATATGGTTTTTACCTAAGTGCTGACCGAGTACCGGGTTCGTTTCTGGGGTTGATTAAAGTGTTACTGTGTGTTTAATATCAGAAACCCTTCGTTATAATAGAGATTCTGCAATAAAAAGCAACATATCAATAAAATACACCTTGTTTCCTGATCAATAAAATACATTTTCGTTTGTTTCAGACATGGTTCTTCACAGACGTAGACAATCCATTACATCAAAATCAAACAAGTAAGTCAAAACTTCAATGGATCTGAATTGTAACCAAATAACTTTAACACTGCAATACGTAATTGATACCTTATACCAATGTAATAGGATTTATTTTTCCACAGATGGCCACATGATAAACACGCACTGCCCGTCTTATCATCAGCCTAAACATTTATGCTGTAAAACGTCTATAGAATACGACCATTTCCTTGACAGTGGAAAGAAGTGAGTGTCCATTTTCATTTTAATCCTTATTTCGTAAGTCATAAGAGCTAACTCAGCGATTGCAAATTTCAAGAATCATTGTACATTTTTGTATTAGATTTTCTGTCTTATTCTTTTGAGGATAAGGGTTATATTCAAAGGTTTGTCGGCGATATATTTTTCGTGGACATTTTTGATAGTTTGACATGATAAGCTTGTTTGTTTGAGTTTGTTTTCTTAGTAGACGCGAAACTTGAGATACTGACCAAGTTATTTTACTTTAAACGATAATATCAGCTTTTTATTAGCTAGGGAGGTACCTATATAGAAAATGAAGTTGCAAATATTATTAATAATAACTAGCGACCTGCCCAGGCTTAACACGGGTGCAATATGCAAGTATAATACATATAAACCTTTCTTAAAAATCATTATATCTAATAAAAAAAAACCTTTCAAAATCCGTTGCGTATTTTTAAAGATCTAATCATACATAGGGACAGACAGACGGCGGACAGCGACTTTGTTTGATGTAGCACCCATTTTTCACTTGTATACTAATTATTACGAATCCTATGTAAGTAGACCTATAGCTGGACAAACATTTCCAAATTCGATATAGTTACTAGTGAACTGAAAACTGTTCAAAAATCAGTCCAATACTTTTTTTACGTGTTCATACAGTCAAACGCTAAAGAAGACGTTCTATTGATAAAAATACTAGCATCCACTAGTGGCTTCGCACACATACCCGTGGTATATAGCTATGTTCAAGTTTCAAGTTTAAGATCGTAATACGGTAGTTGACAACTAGTCAAATTCAATACTTTTATCGAAACGTCAAAAACGATACTGTTCTATGAATTTTGTACGAAATACTAGCTTATGACGTCATCATATTTTCGCGTCAAATAGCACACTTATATCTGAAGAAAATGCAAGAATAAATCGAAAATTAAGTATATCGGCAAATCAATTAATGAAAGTGTAACTATATTTCAATATTTAATTGGATTGAAAAGTCAAAATAATTTATTTTTGACCCAGGAAACTACCCAATTGTTAGTTAGATAGTTTGCAACGCACCTGTGACACGTCTGGTGTTGCGGGTGTCCATGGGCAGCGCTGACTGCTTACCATCAGGTGATCCGTCTGTTCGTTTGCCTCCATATGCCATAAAAATAATCTACCCCAGTTCCAAAATACATCCCGTTCCCTTCCACCATTTTGAGATGATTGAGTAAAAAATATATATGTACTAGCTTTTACCCGCGGCTTCGCTCGCGTCACAAAAGGATAAAAAGTAGCCTATGTGACATATACCTATACATACAGCGCCATCTATACCAATACTTTTGTTTTCCCTCGGGAATATGAAATTTTTCCGGCATAAAAAGTACCCTATTATTTAATCCGGACTTCTAACTTTACGTCTGCAAAAATTCAAAGCAATCGGTTTAGTAGTTACGGCGTGAAGGCGGAACAAACAAACAAACAAACAAACTCACTTTCTGATTTATAATATTATATAGTAAGGAAATACACAAAATCACCCAAACTCCCCAGTTACCTATCATATTAAGTAAGATGTAAGTATGACCTTTAAAATCAGATTGGTTTGAACTATAAACTCATTTATTAAGCCTTTAAACTTCACCAGACTTTGCCTGAGGGTTTCACAGAACACAAGGCGTTTATCATATACGTATTCCTATAATTATGGTGTGCTATCCCATCACTCAATCTCCATACAACGACACATACGAGCAATTATAACGCAATCAAAAGTAACCATGTTGGTCCGTTTCTTCTAGGAATTCGAAGATAGATGGATGCGAATTAATTACATCTGTAATTATCGTCATGTTTTTGATTGCCTCATTGTCCGAGTGGTCGCAAGTGCGACTGCAAGGGATTTCAGGTTCGATTCCCGGGTCGGGCAAAGTATTACTGGGTTTATAAAAACCTCAGTAGTAGCATGGAGTCTGGAAATGTCCCCGTGTATGCCATGTAATAAGCCCAGCCCCTATTACATGGGATTCATAACATATACAGTGGCATTAAGTGCGTTATGTTATGTTATGTGTTTCTGATAGTAATGTATGATGTTTGATTCCTTCGGTCATGTTGTGGAGGGAATTACATACAACCACTATATGAAGATATGGATTATAATATGAATGGCGAAAAGGATGAGTGTTAGATGTAACTGCAATTTGTGAAACTAAAAACTTCCTTACATTAATCAGATATATAAATCATCATTCTAAATCTGAATTTTGAAACTTAATGTCCAACCGTTACAGAGGCCTTAGTAGTAGTTTCTTTTTCCTTTTTCGTTCGGCGCTGTGATTGGCCGGCTCTAATGAACCAACCAATCAGAGCACAGAACGCCGTCTCATTTCGATTACTTTAAACGAAAAAGAAACTCGAAGTAAGGCCTCAGGTTATTTTGCAACCCCGGACTTCTATACTCAACACTTATGCCCGTCCGACGGCAGTTCCTAGTAAATATTTTCGCTTTAATTCACTCAACAGTTAAACAACGGAAGTTTTTCACTACTAATAGCGCAAATAGAAAACAAAAAACGATTAACTTGTCAAACAAAACACCGAATTTTAAAATCGTTCAATATTTTTCTAATAAAACGGGCTTACTTCAAAGTTTTTCTAAACCGCACAGTCAATCAGAACTCAGTAGTGAGTTAGTTTTTGTTGTCAGTAAAAACAAAACGCTCTTAACTTCTGTTTTTAGAAGCACCGCAGTTTGTTTAAATATTGGAAAACAAACTTTAGTTCCACCGGTTTAATGACCATATTATACTTTACAGCTTTGCGTTTGAAAATTTTAAATAACTCACCAATTTTTATATTTGAAGTTCTCTAAGTAATAGACAATTATTTGGCAAAACGAATTTATTCTAAAACTTATTGCCTTCGCCAAATCAGAGTGCAAGATCTTTATGTACCTATATACTGCAAATTGCATTAGCCTATACCTACGCCCCTTCAGGCGTCAACCAACGTACCATTACAGATAGTAACTCATCAAATAAATACCCTAGTTTACTCTCAAGGGAGTCAAGAATATGAAAAATGTTCGCAACGTCGCATAACGTCTGACTGCACAGCTAAAGAATATTTTTACAGAGAACATGAAGCAATTTTGAAAGCAGATTAAAATTCCTCCCGTTTACAACCTCTCAAATAGGGAGTGTATTTTTTTCTCCAGTCCATATCAGAAGTAGACAACACTTGTAAAAACAATACGCATAACAGAAACTTTTTCAAATTTGTTTATCCACGTATGAAGTACTTCACTTAGAGTATGACAAAGGCTTTTTAATCAGTAGACAACAGCCTCACCAACGAAGCTCAACGCTCAAACACAAATATCTAACGTTAATGGTTTTTGAAGAGCTTGTTCAATATTATTTTGGGCTCACAACAATTTTCACGCGTTTACTCAGAACTGACTATAATGTTTTTGTTGAAACTTCGTCGTTTACTTCCCACAGTTGTGTTTTCAAGTGCAACCCTGAACGCATTAGTATCATATTTCAATAAATGTTATGGATCATCCATGTTGTTTCTTGACCTTTCTCCTCACGATGATTTACGATCTAGTAGCTGAGTCATTATTCCAAAAATATTGTCGTATATGAATATCAATACTTTTATATATATTATTTCCTCTGTTGACCTTTCAAAACGTGGCAACGTAATCCCAATTTATATTCAGGTATAAATTAAATCATCAGTAAAAAGTTTACCACAATCATTTATTATTTATTCCGAATTTGGTATCATATTCAAATTACGTTTGAATGCCTTGAATGGTTTCTGTTAAGCCCTATACAAATATAGCAAGTAATTGAACGTTTCCGGTCGAAATAAACATTTTAATGGGTATAATCGATGTTGAATGAAGCCATTAATTAGACGCCGCCTAACAATCTTTCTGGCTCGAATTGTGATACTTGATTCCTGGCGTCAGCTATTGTTACAAGGTTTTGAAACGTATCGCTCAAGTCTCGTTACTTGTGCCCATTAATTTTCTTTGCCTACGCATCAATTTGTCTATAAAACTGATTCTCGGCGCAATAAACGTCCGATGCGGTGATCTTTTGTAGGCATTTCTTGCGAGACAAATGAAATGGGCTGAATGTACCCCGTAACAGTCGCAAGGTCAAAGAGGTTGTTTGATTTTATGTCGAGGAATACTGTGACACGTAGTAGATTTGTTGTAATTGCGCGAAGCGTTTCCTGTACTATATTTTGTTTACTCGGAGTAAACAGGTAACATTGGCTAAAATATCTTCAATTTGTAAAAAAAGGTTTCTTATAATACCGCTATTGGTTCCTTTAAAAGTGCTACTTTTCATCTATTGTGTTTCTAATGTTTAATCTACAACATTAACGCATACGTCTTTCTAGGGAATTAAACAGGTTTTTACTTGAAATAACAGGAACAAGGTACTAAAACATCAAAATATATGAGCGGTTGAATCGAGCAGCTCTTTTATTGGTCCCAGGTGGACTGTAATAGGATTATCGAACGTTACCAGTGTAAGCTTCACTGGATACGTCAAGCGGTGGATTGCTACCAACAAAATTGGTAACCACGATGGGACCTTTTGTCGGTTGCGTAAAAGGAATTTGCGATGATATATTGTTTTGGCAAATCAGAATTGACGTCATTTTACTCAAATTGTAGAAATTTAAACAGTAAATAGATATAAATTCTTTAGCCAACCCTATTATAGAAGCCGCGGAGGACTTAACGGGTTGCTGGGACTCCGGCTTGCAGGTTTTTTTTTTTAAGGGGGGAAAATTTTCGAATGACTGCTCCCGCCTGGGTGAGGCGGGAGGGAGTGTCAGACTTTTACTGACTAAAAACCACCGTTCCTTCTCCTGCTGTCGAGCCGGGGCCCCGGTTACCCGTTAGATTCTCCGCGACTCCGAACCGGCTTGAAGGTTAGGACTACTCCTACGAACGGGATGGTTTTTAGTCAATAAGGGTCTGACACTCTGGCCTCACCCAGGCGGGAGAAGTCATTCGACGATTTTCCCCCTTAAAAAACCCTAGAATAGAAGCAATTGACCATCTGACATACTATTAGGTACAGAATCCACCTTTCAGTATCTCTAAGATACAATTATTTAGCTATCTCTAAGAAAAATTTAAATGAAAATACTAAATCTACAATTCCATAAATAACAATTTGACGTTACACAAAAAGCAATTATACAACATTGAAAATTAGATATAAAGTTATATACCAGATAGCAATTATGGACGGATATGTAAAATACAAGTAATAAAGCAGTAAGTAATACGCTCGGGTCTTGCTAGCTTAATAACATACTTAAAGCTTAGGTCTGTAGTATAATAAATAGTCTTGATCTGCAATTAAACAGCTGTCTTGCAAGAAATACACGTCGACCGATCCAATTTCGCAAATGCAAACACGATATTCAAGAAACCCGATACAGATTATAAGTTCGCGAGTGGCGGCCATTTGTCGTACGCCATACTGCAATATGTGGTCACGGATTGCGTATACGCAGCTCCTGTTATTTGCCGCCGAGCGTAATGTCAGTAAATTATACCGCAACGCTAATTATTGCCACCCGGAGCAAAATTCTTGTTCGTACGACTTTATAAACGCCCTGTACTTGCAATTATTTCCTTCAATAACTTTGAATGCAGCTGGTTAATTCGCGTTTCCATGGAGATACGCGCTCACTGGTCGTTTCAATTCACGGTTAGGTCCTTTTATGAAGTCAATTAATTGGAAGCGTTTTTACGTTCATTATTATTCTTAGTTTTGAAACTTGTAATGATCGCTTGCGTTTCTTTATGTTCTGATATAACCATAGCATTTCATACTTTTGAAATTGTACCCAATTCAAGTATAACAAGGTCTGTTTTTATTTGGACAGGTGGTTCTGCCATTTTGATGATGACAACTACGTGAACATACCTCGTTTGGTTACTGTCCTGCAAAGATACGATCACCGACTAGACTGGTACCTGGGCAGACAGTCTGTAAACAGGCCTGTTTACGTAAACTACCAAAAAAAGGTAAATATTTATTTTCCAGAGTTAGAGAGAAAGAGAGAGATAGAACATCTGCTTGGAGTAAATCCTGAATGAAATCGTAGAAATATACATTTTATTTTCAGATATTATTGTCCTAAAGAGTATCTATAATTTAATAATTATTAATTTCATTTCATTTTTCGTGTGATAAACATAATAATGATAATATTTCTTTTGTTGCAGAAAATTTTATATTTTAGATTCGGCACTGGAGGTGCTGGTTATTGTATAAGCAGGAGTTTGGCTTTGAAGATGTCACCTATTGCAAGGTGAGTCAATGTTTTTCTTTTATTTTTAAATTCAAGACAATTTCTAATTGTTAGAAAAGAACTTTACCGAAATGATTCGAATAAGTAAAATATATCAGCCCACCAAATAGATGTACATTATACAATTATATATCTATATGAAAAAATATATCCTAGAGTAACCCTACATAATTTTTTTTCGGACTATTTGGCAGTATGAGTAATTAGTCCGATAATACACAATTGAAAATGTTTTCGTGCTATGAATGAACTGAGAATTTCGAAATTGATAAAAACTTTGATACTTACCTACTTCATGAAAGGTGAATATTTTCAAATTAAAGTTCATTGTACTCATTTAAGTTATTTGTTTCAGTGGTGGCAGATTCATGAGTGTCTGTGAAGGCATACGAATGCCTGATGACGTCGCTATAGGCTTTGTCATAGGTAAGAGAAACTTTCATTGATTGTATTAAATTTATTTGTCTGTAAATCATATTACTGTATAAATAGGTACCTACTAGGAGAAAAACTACCAATGTGGTTCAAAATTAGTAACGATAGCGAAGCCGGTGCTAGAAACAAATGTAAGATACTATGTATCTATACCCGGGAGTACACTCCTGGGTATTTATTTATTTATTCATATTGCTCAAAGTACATATAATATAAAGTATTACATACAACTAATTCAGTACATTACCCTGTTAGGGCGCAGTAATTTAAAACGTTACAAAATTGTATGTCAGCTGAAATTTATAAGTATTTCTTAGAGCTATAAATTAACCTACCTATATATTAACTATTCTATAGTTTTTTTTTAAATCTTTATTTAGGGGATTTCATATACTGATTTTCACCCGCTACTCGGTTCTTGTTAATCGTAGCGTGATGTTTTATAGTCTATGTCACCCTCCATCCTTTCAACCATCTCCACCCAAAGAAAATCCCGTTAACCCGTCGAGCGTCCGCGTTCCTTATGATCCAACGGGTGCACACGTGTCATTTGGGGAAAGAAAGAAATAAAGAAAGAAAATGCATTTATTTGGCCATTGGCACACGAAAACAAGGATTATTACAATAGAAATAAAAAATACAGTCAAAATAAAAAGAAAACATTAAAAATAGATTTTATAAAAGAGAAAGCAGCATGGAGAATTTTTTCTTATGATCCACCGGGTGCTCATAAGGACGCTCGAGGGGTTAATTCGTCACTCCGTTTTGTCAGGAAAGCCGTACAATCAAATAAACACACACCTACAGATAATTCAAAGTTATTTTTTCTTTCCAGAGCAACTACTTAAAGTAAATATCACGGAGGTGCCCGAGTTCCATTCTCATTTAGAGCAAATGAAGTTGCTGCCTCTGAACAAATTGCGAGATCAAATCTCGTTTGGTTTCTTTTGGAAGAAGAATTATAAAGATACAGTTAATGCTGTTAATGTACCAGGATTCAGTGCAAGATATGATCCTACTAGGTAAGCAGGCCGTATACTATTTTGTTTAGAATTACCTTGATACAGTTTACTATTTTCTTTTTATAATTATTATGATTGTTCAAATCAAATCAAATCAAATCAAATGTCTCTATTGCTGAACACAGTACATTTAGATGCATTTCAAGATGTTAGATTAATGCGCAGTTCATCATGTTCCACCAATTGTTGACTTTGATTATGTCTATTGTCAATAATGATTGTCGATGTCCAATTTATTTAAAACTTACACTGCCGCGTCTGTTTATGTGGTTGCAAGGGGAACTGCTCAGTTAGATATCTCGGATTTAATGCCTGGTTAGCTTAAAACACTTTTATCTTAATAACAACCCTGCTGTCCTCTTTAGGGAAAATGATTAATGGTAAATATTTCTTTGTTTCAGATTCCTGTCACTACATTGTTTCTTATTTCCCTATTTCCAGTTTTGCAAACTCATTAGAAGATGAAATTATTTAGATTCCATATAGGTCTTAAAATTTTTACGAAACATCAAAATTAAATCTTCCATAGAACTTAACGTGCAATATATAAAGTTCATATTCGTATCAAAAAATTAAATTAAAAATGTTTATTTTATTTTGTTGTTGACGATTTTGTGAAGTAAATAATGTGGGAGTTAAAAATGAATGAATCTTGTGATCGCAGAAAGGGTGCACAAATTAGAAAGTTGTACAATCGACAAATTTGATTTCTGACCTACCATAAACTTAGGCATTTTATACTGAGATACTCAAACGCTACTCGATTTTAAGTCGCGTTATACCGACATATTTATACAGACTTTGGGTGTTTATTATTTTAGCGATTTGTTTTCAAAGTGCGTCCAGATCCCAATTTGTTGATTGTACATATTATATTGATACATGTATACAAATTGATACATGCAAATGTCTATAAGAAAACTGTGATATTAGAATATTTACGTGTTTAATTATAAATATAAAATTACAGTCAAGTGTTGACCTGAAATTGTTTGATAATGACGTTGTTTATATAATATAAAAATTTAAATATTTATTTTTGGAGTTTTATTGTACCTTCTTTATGTATTTGTTTCTTGTTGTTTCAAAAATCGAATGTATTTTGAAAGGTAAATTTTCACGAACCACAAAAGAATGAATATTGAAACATTTTTCAAGATTAGATTATAAAATACTTACCTGTGTGATATAAAGATAAATAAATAATAAATAAGAATCTTTAGACTATTTATTTTTAAAAAGAAATTTAAATAGGAACAGATTGACGCCGCTGGAAATGTTTTAACGTAAGTACATTATATTAAATTAAATAATATTACTCGTAATTTAATCCATTATTTAAATATAACGTGGCATTGCAAATCTGCATGAATGCACCGATTACCTTACATGGTGACCGCGACAGCACGATCATGGAATGTAGGGTGATTGTACATTAGCCAGCACATCAACCTACTCTATTTTTCTCATTGGATTTTCGACTGTATATCTAAACGATAGAGTTGAAAATCGTATAGTAATTTGATAGAAAAGAGTAGGATGACCTGCTGCCACTGTACCATAGATGCGCTGTGGTCAACCGCGGCGATATGGTGATACGCATTATGATAATCATAATAATATTAGTCCGGTTTTTACCTGTTGAAGCTGGTGCAGTGGAAAATAAGCTTGCTACTACAGAGAATCTGCAATTCGAAATTCCAATAAAGATTTTAGTAATATTGTCACAATTGGGTAGTTAGGGTCTCAAAATTAAAAATCTAATTAGTCTGTCAGTAAGATAATGAAAAAATATTAGACACGTATTTTTTTTATTTTCTCGTATTAAGTTGCAATACTTAGATAAAATGGCGCTAAGTTTAGGAGTGGGAGGTTGTTACGTCATAACGTGCTACAAATTATGGCACGCTGTGACGACACATGATATTTCAAATTGATATGTCGTCGAAAGTATTTAATTTTAAGAGAAAAGAAAAAATACTTGTCTAAATTTTTAATTAATCTACCACACGGACATTAAAATAAAATTTAGGAAACTACCCTATTTAACTCGTCGAGTACCGTATTTATAGACACAATTAAAGAACAATAGGTTGCGGTCACCGGTGACCGCTTGGTGTTTGACAGTTTAAGCTACATGATTGGCTGTCGATTGAGACACACAAGATCAATTGAAGACAATGGTTTACTCAACAAAATGTCCCAAATAAGAGTCCCGTTGTGTCATGAAACTAGTCGAGATTTTCTCAGTCATTAAGGTGCGTGAGTACACCATTGTTTTCAATTATAACGTCACAGATCCTTCAGACACCTTCCACGCACAATCTCACATAAGTAGACAACAATCCAACAATATTATTGTCTTGATTATCTTACTGTGTTCGCATTTGCCTTACACTCCAAACCAGCTCATGACAAAATTACCTTGTTAACGATCCATAGTACCCTTACAGACATTTGAATAGATTATTCAATATCCCAGTATACTTGAATAAGTTTAAACTAACACCTTGAGATGCCAAAGATCTAGTTTTATCGATGCAATGCCTCAATGGACTGTAAATGGGTATCAGGTAACAGTATTTATCGCCTAACCATCTTATATGGTATACCCTAACGTGTTATTTTGAATGTAAGGAAGGATATAGGATTTCAAAAAGGGATGTTTTTTAAGATGCTGATTTGTGTGATTGTGATTCTAAGGGCCGATTGTTCAATCATCAGTTACATGATCATTCACGACACGACACGTCATCATGATGACGTGAAGAATTAATGTTTTAAAATAATCTACCAGACAGACAATAAAATAAAATTTAGTCTACTACAATATTGTTAAGCTGTGTACAGCAATGTTATGTATAGTTTACAATTAGGTTCATTTGACGATAATGACGACGATACCTACCTTATAATTTCTATCGATTTTTTTTCTATTTCAATCACGTGCCTTCCTTCATGTCGGAACACAGTAATGTAAATGAATTACCACATACAAATGAAGAGAGAATTCACAACTGGGCACAAATATGCGGTGTGAACTCACCATTACGTATTCCATCGATTAAGGCATGCAGATACTACAAAATCGACCTCTTAAAAATCTAAAGAACTAATGTCGTGAGAACAACTTTAGCAGTTTCAAATTTTCGTCAGCATCATTTCCTCAAAAGTAGTACGAATGATTAATTAAATTGATTGATATGCTCCATTCGTTCCGCAATGGAGGGTCTTGGCTTCCCTTCGATAGCACCTGGTCTTGAATTCTTCGATACTGCGCAGTCACTTCACGTAATTGGGTCCGTAATTTGTTCTGGTGCAACAATCGGAAACCTTGACTCGATTAAGAATTTAAACCGATTATTATAACCTTATTCGGATGTTCTTTCTTCTCGATTATTTTGAATTGAAGTTGGATTATGCATGCTGTTTAGGATCTTATATACCTGAACTCAAGAAAATGCATTTTATCGAATTTCAAAATACTAATAATGAACACCAATAAGAACATTTCTGTTGTCCCTCTTTTGCTAGAACTAGCAACCATTCCAGGAGGCCCGTTTTGGCGAGTCTCCGCCTGCCATTTTTACCTGTAATTGTTTCGACAGGTGCCATAGTCATCCCATAGTCTCCAATTTCCAGTTTACAGCAACCCATCCATAGTCCTACTTTTTTATTATCTACAATTGTTTTATAGTAACTGGGGACTGTCCTTGGGCGCATTTCCATAATGCATACAGGGTAGTCACCAGTTTCTGTTCCATTGCATTTAGATTAAAATTGTCTGAAGGGTCTCTGCGCAGTTGTCTTCGGCCCCTCGTATGCCTCTCAATTGACCGTGGTCCCGTGATTGGTAAAAAAAAACAATAAACGAACGATGTCTTACTGAATTCAAATTCGGACTTAACATCAAATACTTACCCCGAAAATAATATACAAACTGGAAGCTCCTACTTTAAACAGGCGATGAAAACCATCAAACTAACAACACTAACAGTTAAAATCATTATTTTGTTTATCAACTTACTGTAGATAAATGTAGATACTTAATATTAAATGGTCCAAAGGTTTTAACGAGCGATGAAAGAAATGTCATCATTTTCTCCATACGAAAGCACTTAATGCTGAGACCACAAAATTCTCGAAATCTCTTTACGTATACTCTTTAAACTTTCGAATGTACTTTTGTACTCAAAACAGATCGATTAAACAGAACTCGTCGAATTAATGGGTTTGTATCAACATAATTAAGCTTTCAAAGAGTACCGATTGTCCTATACGACAGAGATTGTCAAAGTTTTTTAGTTTGTGATCTATATAAGGATATGCAGTAGCTATGGACCTTTGTTTTGCTATAATTTTTCCTGTATATTGTCTATGTTGTTTGTGTACATAATTATTTTTAAATTGTTTAATTAACCCTTTGAGTACCGTCATTATAGACACAATTAAAGAACAATAGGTTGCGGTCACTGGTGTCCTCGCGGTGTTTGACAGTTTAATTTTAAAAACTGGATTTGGATTAATGATGATATTCCAATGTTTTATCTTTAAACGGAAAGGTTAGGTATTATGTAATTTTAATTCATATAATTCAAATATTTTAGCCCATCTAAGAAAAGCTGCTTTGTGCAATCGTAATATTACAAAATACTCATAGTTTACGTCTTAGTTAGGGTTTGTTCTAACTTTTATGACAATAAAAATAAAATTATTAAGTAGGTATGTCACTATTAATCCATAACTTGGAGTTACTGGAAAATGTTAGAGGAGTATACTTTGGATTCCTCTTATCTCTTTTATTAGTTAGGTACTTAAGTACATATTAGGTGTGACTGCACCCCACATAACACACTTTGAGAACCACTGTCTAGACCATTAGTTTAAAATTGACACCCAATTAAAAAATGGGATCCATTTGTTTTGTTTAATTTGGTCTTATTGGCTTCGATTTCATTAAAAGCAGTCCTGTTTTTAATAAGAATCAGTAATTTAGTTTAAGAATTAGTCATTGGTTACCATTTCTTGGAATCTGGCTCTTATGTTAATTTTCAGAACTGTAATATAGAATCATTATAAAGGCGGATTTGAGAAACAAAGCTAACTTACCGAAAATTAAGAGGAAGCTGTTGCACCTCTTTCGGCAACTGATCGTAGTTTTTTGGACATACTTACATAGACACGTGGAATCGATTCTTAAATAAAAAGAACCGACGCATGTTCGGGGTTGCGGTGAGTTCAAGATAAACTCTAGGATGTAGAATGAAATATATATTTAGATACTAATGGGATAACAATTAAGCCTAATGAGGTGGATGAGATGAGATTTTTGGGAACTGTTTGCCACAGTCTGGTTAAAGTTGTAAGATACTTGAGGGGTATTTATTAGTGACAGCAAAAATAATGATAAAGATAGAACCATGGCAGAGAATGACATAGGATGTTCTTTCTTAGTCACTGTTGGT